AAAAAATTATTATCAGATTTTATTATCAAATCCAATATATATAAAACCAATAAAAACTGATTTTCTCTAAATATTTTATTAATGTAGCTTTGAGGATTTTTGCAATAAGAAAGATAATAAGTTTTATTTGTGAAAGCGTCACTTTACTTGATTTTTATTTAATAATATTTGAAAGTTCTAATTGATGTTAAAGCTTTAGTATTCTGCGAGAAACATGCAAGCAAGCAGTTGAAACTATCACTATGGTAAAATGGACCCAACTATTTTGAATACGAAAACAGTATCGATACTATTAAAACAATGTAACTTTCAAAGTAATTTTGGGATTGCTCTTGGATCTGCATAAAATGTTGGAAACGCGATCAGTCAATGATTGTAAATTCTAGTTACATATTTGAATTGCTTTTATACGTTTTTCCTCTATATGACTTTATATTTGTAATTTGAATGTCATGGAAGTTTCGTTTATTTTCCGATAATAATCGTCTAATTGCTTTGGTTTAATCCTTATAACCGTTATATACAATAGGTAATTAATAAACCGTTAAAATACATATATTACACAAGTTTGTACAATTGAAAGAATAATTATTTGTCTGCATTAATCGTCGGAAAATCCGCAAAGTGCTCTAATTAAAACGAAATTGTAGCAGATAATTATTTCCTGCTGTAGGTAGGAACGCGTTTCGATAATTTTCGACGTACTGTTTATATCCTTTTTGAAACTATACATTGGGTATATTGTGAGTGAATCGTTGATGGCACGCTTTTATCAATTACAGAATGAAGTAGAACAATAACGAGATTTATTTCATCCTAATTTCAATACATCTCATATATATATATATATATATATATATATATATATATATATATATGAGATGTATTGAAATTAGGATAAAATAAATCTCGTTATTGTTCTATATATATATATACATATGTATACATATATATACATATATATATGTATACGTATATATATACACTGAATTTTGAAACTATAATTCTGGACAACAAAATTCTTAATGAAGAAAAAAAAACCTTATCAAAACAGTACGATAAAAATTGATAAAAAATTATCATCGTATATTCCTCGCAAAGAAAATATTTATTGATATTTTTGCGAGGAATATACGATGATAATTTTTTTATCAATTTTTATCGTACTGTTTTGATAAGGTTTTTTCTTTTAAAAAAAGATAACGATATAAAGACCTGGAACGAAGGCGAAACTGGACGGAAAGACGCGCGAACAAATTCCCGGCTAATTAATGCCTCGACCACAATGGCGGAAAGCGCCGAGGCTCCTCAGCCTTAAAACCATTTGTTGCCCGTTCTCCGGCTCCTTGTTTCCCCGTCGGAACGGCGCGGCGCGAGTTCGCATTATACTTAGGGTTCCGCCATTATGTTTCCCCGGTTTTGCCGAAACAATACAGCGTGTAAGCGGCCGTCTCAACGTAATATTACGTCGGTTGATTTATATCGTCCATTCTTGCGACCCGCACTCGCAACATTATATTCACTCACTAAGCGATCGGGATCATTATGGCGTAATAAACGAGGCGGACACCCTCGATGACGAGAAAAAGTTCTAGGTGCAAACGTGCACAAAAAAAAATCACGAGAAGAATCAAAGTGAATTTCAGATCGGAGCATTTAAACTAGGATAGCAGAATATTTGTGTATCAATTCTGATCGTATACCTATAATTATTTTGAATCTTAATTATCTATATATTTTGCAGAGTTGAAAACGCAGGTATATATTCGTATTAGAGGAATATAAAATTCTTATAAGGCAAATCATTTGAATTGCTTTTTCGTGAATAAAACAAGTGTTTGCCATATTGCAAGGAGCTCTCGCTTACTATCGCTCTCATTTTAATATTTCCGCGCAATATCGTCGCCATCGTTTATAAAACGCCAGATAGTTTGTATAATGCAACGGAAAAGAGTGCCGCCCTATATATATATATATATATATATATATATATATATATATATATGCGCAATATGCTTTCACAGAGCTCTTTTAGGAGCGACAATGACGAAAAGCATTGCAGGAAAGGACAGATTTGGTCGATGCTGAGCAATTATCATAATATTATTAATTAATATTTAACGCGGAGAGGTAATATTTAATTGAAATATTAATTAAAATTGGATAAATTTATGATTCACGATTCTTTGTGTAAGTATTACATTACAATGTTGATGTGATATTGGAACAATAGGATTAACAGGATGTCTGATGTATCGATTATGCCTCAGTAATATTTGCGATAATAATAATATAATTTAATATAATATAATTAATGGTAAAAGTGACGCTTAATTATTTCAACTCTCTAACAAGAAGACCTTATCAAATTTTGTGAAGATTTCAATATTGAGGAACGTTAATCTTCTTCGCAATTTATATATATAAAAAATTGTTTTACAAAATGGAATAAAAAGTAGAGTGTTTCTATTTGAAAAGTGAAAATTAAAAACTAGAAAAATGTCGATGCACAAATCTGCTTTGTTCACTCGATTCGAAGTAATGTTTGACAGGACAGAACGAGCGAGCTGACGCGATGATGAACGCGAGTTGCGTGAAAGCGCGCGCCGTGAAAATTTTTTTTCCTTCCATTTAAACGTGTCGTCCGCATTTTTGAAAGCAAATCTCAGATAGATTCGTCAACGGCAACATACGACACACGGGCGGTCTCGCTGCTGCTGCTGCTGCGCCGACCTCGCAAAGTTGCATGAGTCTGAAACGCGAAATTAAATCCGGGCGTATAAACGGGCGCCATGTATACCCTGTCAACGGTTACAAACGCGAGTCACGAATCCGTAGCGCACGGAGCGCGTCTTTCGCTTTTATTTACGGTTCGCCTGCTCGCACCGCGAATGCGTTGATTTAATTCCGAAAGTTGCCAGCGCGCACCCTGGGAAAGAGAGAGAGCGTTCGTCCCCGTCGTTCGCACGATGCGACACGTGTCTGTAATGTCCGCGTAACACGTGAGACTTCTTGCATTTCGGTTACATCGATACCATATTTTACTTAGCTCCTGAGATTTGACGTTTCAAGAGCGCATGTTATTTCACGCTAAAGTTACAATACGTGATCGATTTTTGCCAATTATTCTTTCATCTCTAATCTGTAATCAGTGTATCATTTTCTTCGCAAAGATATCGCGATTTTAATAGATTTTTAATTGACGATATATGCGATCGAAAAGTAATGGTATTTTGGCGTAATTGTAATATTATTTCTTATCCAATTTTGGATTTTAATTTCAAGACGATGTTTAATTAGATTTTCACAAGAGAGAAGCGAGTGAAGAAATTGATCAAATAATCTCTAAGCGAAGTTCATAGAAAGTTTCTGTTTACTGCCAGTATATACTCTTTATTCGCGAGGGAAATGTCATGTCGTATAAACTATAAGCTCGGCGCATGTCGGAACGGAAAGGTATTAACACGCTGCACGCAACTTTGTGCATTCGTGCGTGCTACGTGCGTGCGCGATTTTTTGCCATTTATTTCCATGTGCCTTTTCGCTAGGATTATTTTTACCGTCGAGCGCGGACCGACATCTTTATCGCCGCAAGTTATACGAGTTTAACGTATCTTTTGGTTTGCAACCGCCTCGCGCTGATTAACCCTTTCAACGCCGATAGCATTGCGCGAGAGTTGCGCAATTTATGCGCATACATTTTCACTTGCGCGCCGGATTCCGCCATTTTCTTAGTCATCCCTTATTGTTAGTCTCTCTTCGAGGTCGTACACCCAGGGGCAGACGAATGTATAGAGTTTAGCCTAGCGTGATTAAAGTGGATGAATTCTGGCCGTGTCATAATTTTTGTTGCGTGACTTTCTGAGTGGACGTCACAGTTATTAATACATCATTCGTGTATATTATTATTATTATTTGATGTATGTTGTGTACATAATGTCGAAAGATAATATTCAAATGTTTGAAATATGTGCGGAGGAATTTTCGCTGGAAAAATGTTGAAAGCGTCCAAATAACTTGATTGAAATCATTGATATGAAATATAAATATTACGTCTCAAATTTATCTTCTTTTTACTTAAAATTTCGACATCTATTTTCGAATATATGTTACTTGTATTAAATAGGAATATTTTTATAGTGTTTCTGTCACTCAGAAAATTAATTTTTTTTATTAATGTGGAGTAATATAATGATCACTTAAACATTATTATCAAGTGTTAATAAATGCATAGAATATATAAATATATTTTGTGAGAGAAATGATTTATATTTATTAATACAGCGCGATCTAGAGGCGCGTATTTCCATACGAAAAACGCACACTTACATACACATACTCATTGCTCACCTTTATGCATTGCGTGACTAATTCATCACACGTACCTAACATTTCGCTGCGTAGTTCAAGTAATCCTACTTGTTTTAACACACAAGTGCACCTCTTCTTTTCTTCTTTGTTATTTTCTCGTATTTTCGCTACAGTTGCCCGACTATTTACGATCTTTTTCTCCTGCGTGTAAAAGATTTCTCGAAGGGCTGCTCGGAAAAATGTCTTGCAGCGTACCATATTTCAGATACGATGGTTTGTTGGTAAAATGTGTTTCGAAAATAGTAATAATGTACACAAATAAAAATAGTAATAAACTAAAAGAGCACAAAGTATCTATAATAAATAAATTATTAAACTGTAACAATACGTATTATAATATTGATTAAAACAGACACATAGGACTTATATGTTAACATATTTCTAAAATTTAACTTTCTTGCATATTTTGTGTTTAATTAGAAAACTTTATATACCTATAGTTATATTTTGTATTTAAAATACCAATTTCAAATATATATGTGCAAATTTTTGGTCTAATCCCACTTTTTTCTAATTCTTTTTTTCGACAGCATTAAATGTGGCACTTGTTTCCCGCGGAATTTTTTTATTTTTCCTCGCATGTCTGTCTCGGATTTTATTGACGATATCCGTGTCCGCTTTTGTTCCAGTTGGGTTTCTTCACGTACTATACAGTGGCGATGGGCGAGGTGAATCCCTCAGGGCCGGTGCCGATCGACAGTGTCTTCATTTACAGGCCGGACAAGCGACTCGAGCTCTGGAGGTTCGCCTTCTACATGTTCCTGCACGCTGGGTGAGTCTTTTTTCATTTCTTTTTTCTTTTTAACAGCAACCCTCTCGATCTGCATTTACACCGTAAATACGTTTCACGCGCATTCTCGTGTCACTTTTGCATCTTTTTCCCGCAATTTAAACATTCGCACAATTGTGAGCGCTTGTCTTATAAATATATAGAGATTGCTCGTATTTAAGAAATATTTGTGACATCACTTTCAAATAACATTGGATCTCTCTATCAAAACTCAATTGGATCCCACGTTTTATTATTCCGCTTTATTATTTGAGATAAAGTGCATCAACAATTCGTTTTTTTTGTAATATGCAAGTGCGTCGTTAATTTTTTCGGCCATCGCAGAAAGAAATGCCGATGTAATACGAGCACATATTTGCTTTTAAATCACGTACCGCTGCGATTTTATGTAACGTCCCAGACCACCTTTTTTCCGCGCTAATGGATGCGAAAGCAAATCTGCGTCAGTGCACATTCAAATTATCGAAGGCATCACCGGCGAATTCGTGGCTAGAAAAATACGAGAGAGCCGAGAGCGAGTCGATAAAATCTTCGTGGAACATTTGAACAACGTTGATCATGAAGAACACATTTTTCATCCGAAAATTGCATTTGCCCATCTTTTTGACTTTTGACTTATCTCGAATATAAGAAATGTTCTATATTTCCTGTAAATATTAGGTTCATTATTTTTTTTTACGTGCGTTTAGAAAAATGTAGTTACTGTTACTCTTGCGAATGAATATCGAAAATTAAATTTAAATGTCGCTCCCGTTCGAATATCATTCCTTACTGTGAACGTGAAGTTACATCGCGATATTAAGAAAAAAAGGGAGGCCGAAATTCTGAAATTGACGATGTTGCGGCACCGCAACGAATTATTACGATTACGCAGCGCGAAAAAAGGGATCGAGATAAAACACGTCTCCGCCGCACATCTTTGGTCTCCTTTTTTTTTTATCAGACTTGCAGAATCAACGTACCGTATATGTTTCATGCGTGCGTTGCATTTACTTTCTATCTAATTTAATCCCGCTTCGAGTTTACCATCCGAGAGAGATGCAATATACTACATTTTTTGGTCTATTAATAATGAAAAATAAAGATTGCAATCATATTTCGAGCTACTAAGATATGCGTATTTGGAGAAGAGAATTATAAGTTCTTGAAGGAATAAAAGAAAAATACATAGAAAAAATTAATATAATGAATATATAATGAAGAAGAGAGAAAAAGAAAAAGTATATTATATAAAATTCAATAGAAAATTAATTTTTATTAGCGTAAAAATTTTTTTCTTATAATATTAAAAATAATAATGAAAATGACAGTACAGATTTTTAAAGTTTCCAGAAATGTGTAAGTAGTTTAAATATAGATAATAATAAAGAAAATTCGATATACAAGGAAATTATTAAATTTACTTAGAAAAGTTGAATAAATTTATAGTTGCGATAAAGTATCATATAATGTAAGATTACTTGTAGGCGCGAGAAGACAGATGCTGGGATTAAATGAATGCGACCCTACGCACCTAACCACCTGCGTCCATCATGAATGTTAGGCATTATGTTACTGACTAATTACAGCTAATTCCGTTCCTTGTACTGTCGTGTACATTCCGCGTTCTCGGCATTGCGTCGATTAAATTTAAACGGCGTAGCAGGAGAAGCAATATTGTTTAAGTGTTGCGGCACACGTTATAGGTTTCCCCACAGGAAAGAAAATGAAGGAGAAGGAGACTGCTTCCTCCGTTCGGGTTTTTTTTTCTCTATTATGTATTATTTTTTTTCTCTTTCCCTCCACTTCGATGGTTTTTGCCTACCTTCCTTTTTTCTTCATCTTTCTATCCTCTTTTCAGTCATTTTTTTCTTTTTATTTTTTTCTGCTTTTTCTACCTCGACATTTCTCTGAACGCACCAACATTTCCACCCTTTCCTCTCCAGTCCCAAGATCACGAAGAGAAAAGAGACCGAGAGACGAGATTCTGCAGCCGATTCTTTCTGTGCTCGGTTTCTCTTTCTCTCTTTCGCCGAAGGGATAGAAGTTTTCAGCGCGCGAAGCTCTGTAAATTATTCATGGAACGCCAGATAAGGCGTCGTTTTTCCTACGTGCGTATGGAAACGGCGATAAGAGTGACCCTCCGTCGCTGTTTTTTTCTTCCATAGAAATGGTGCGTTCGTCCAATTTTTGTTCCCTCTTTTCCACAAGCTTCTCTTCCTCTTTACTATTCTCTCTATTCTCTCTCTCTCTCTCGTTTCCAATTTCTGATAATATTGTATTTCGATAACACGTTCTCTTTCCATTTATCGCATTATTCTTTTTATTTTTCTTTAAATGTTTTGCGTGTGGTTTCCAATTTCTTTTATTTTTAATATTTATTTTATTAATATTTCTGTATATTTTTTCGTTCTCACATTTTTTTAATGTTGCACTATATCAATAACAATTAACATATATGCATTTCTTATTAATTACTTGTGCGGAATTTATTCATGCGTGTGCTCTAATGCCTGTGCTGCATCGTTTTATTCTCATTATGTTGTTCAAACGAGAGACTTCGGAGCGTAATAAAGTTCATCGCGCTTTCTTTCTCTTTTTCGTAAACTCCTTCCCAAGCCGGAATTCACTGTGCATTTGTCTTCCTTTCTACCGGTTACTTCTTTCGTCGATCCGCGCGAAACGTTATCGCGGATGTTGGGTTATTAATGCGAACAACGCTTCGCGCGCGTCCATCAAAAGTCATTTCCCCGAGCATTACGTGATCCCGAAAGAGCTCAAGAGCGCGGCGAGATACGCGGCAACGTACGGTAAGTCGAAGATAAATTTCGTAGAAACTGATGAATTCGTTCGAGGGAGACGGAGTCCCGGATAAATCATACGAGGGTAATAAAGCAATCGCGCGATCTTTCTTTTCATTCCTTTATTTTTTTTTTCATTTGCATTCCCTCGGTCGATGGTACATCAATAATCTTCGGATCGATTACACGCGCCGAGCGTTTTACATGTCCGTTACGTTAATTGGCATAAATCGGGGTTATGATAAGCGTAGTATAATGCATCGACGATGACACACGAGCTGCCAAGAAAGGCCAGAAGCGCGATCCATAATCGACGAGTAAAAAGCTCGACGCTTCAGTCGGGCGACAGGCGATTAATTATAAAAACAAGACGGCGAGCGCCTTTTTCCATCTCCGCGTAACGCCCGTTACCTCCGCCAGACGTTATCGAGCTTCCTCCGTTATTAATGTGAAAACTGTCTCTGCTGCCATCGCGCTTCCAAGTCGTGTCTCTGTCCTCCTTTTCTTCCTTTCTCTCTCTCTCTCTCTCTTCTTCTCTGTCGTGTCTCTCTTTCTTTTATGCCGCGCACGATGTCGTGAGAAAGCCGGAAGCGCGGAAAAATCGAGACAATCGCCGTAATTGCGGGAAGTCAACGCGCGGCAGCGTTGTTGAAGCGGACACAATGGTATCGCCGAGTCCGCGAAATAGCGAGCCGAAAGGATCGCGCGTCGCTCGAGACGGGGAACACGCTTCCGTATCTCGTCGCCTGTATGGTGTTACGTATAGATCGACTCGTGCGAATCAGGCTCGAATTCACAAGAACGCTTTGTTGCGCTCGAAAATTGTCGTCGAACGCGCGCCACATCCTCAAAATGAAGAAAAAAAATCATTCTGCTTGCTGTCGAAGAATTTTAAGCGACAAAGGATTTTTATTTGGCGAAATGATAGATCAAATTATCAGCATTGTCAACTTTTATAAAAGATATATAATTGTAAAAAAAATATTGCGACGAAAATGTAAGCAAGACAAGACATCTTTTTTTTTTTTTTTTTTTTCGTAAGAATAGCGGACGAAAATTGTCGAACGCGCGTTACATCCTCAAAATGAAGAAAAAAAATCATTCTGCTTGCTGCTGAAGAATTTTAGGCGGCAAAGGATTTTTATTTGGCGAATAAATGACAGATCAAATTATCAGCATTGTCAACTTTTATAAAAGATATATAATTGTAAAAAAAATATTGCGACGAAAATGTAAGCAAGACAAGACATCTTTTTTTTTTTCGTAAGAATAGTGGACGAAAATTGTCGAACGCGCGTTACATCCCCAAAATGAAGGAAAAAAATAATTCTGCTTGCTGTCGAAGAATTTTAGGCGGCAAAGGATTTTTATTTGGCGAATAAGTGACAGAGTACCATTATCAGCTTCGTCAACTTTTATAAAAAATATAATTATAAAAAAAATATTGCGACGAAAATGTATAAGCAAGACAAGACATCTCTTTCTTTGTAAGACTGACGGCGGACAGATTGTCTTTCGGACTTGGTAAATTATTCCAAAGTTCCTAACTGTGAGGAGGAAGAAAAAAAAAGGAATATACTTCCGAATCTTTCGACTCGTAACTCAATTTAAATAACGATGTCCACCACCCCCATCGTCTTTATAAGCTTTCGTCACTTGCGCGCTGCCGATGCGATATTATGCATGCGCGACGAGCGCGGTGGCACACCATTATACCACGAATCCTTTTAATGTCGCATAAATGCGCCGGGAAGGCTTGCGACTCTTAATATCACCGAGACGGGTCCCTGTCGTCCCGCGTGCACGCGCTATGTGAACCGAAACTTTCAACCTGCGCTAATCCAATCTCCGAGAATGAAAATTCTTGTTGAAAGTGAGCAAATTGCATGCGCGATTACATTCAGTCTTTGCTTCTCTAAAAAAGCAGAAAATTAATTAATTTCATTACATTCTGCTGTACTCGTCGAAATAGTAATTACGAAAATGAGTCGCTAAAATATATATATTTTTTCCTGACTATCTTAATAATTATTCTTGAAATCATGATTCCGGAAGAGATAAGATTCATCTGAATGGATTTAATTAAAATAAAGTAACGTTTAATTGCACACTAGAAATTTGACTTATGAAGCTGTTTTTACATTCGTTAGCTTACAAACTCGAAAATTGGCGTTGCGATATTTTAGTTGAAGAGAGATCGTTCTCCAATTGGTCAAAGAATCTGTCATTAGAATTCAGATCGGGATTACTTCGAGACAGTCGTGCAGGATCGACTGCTGAGACATCGTTCCTGACAGGCTCGTCCACGCTTTCGTCTTTCTCGTAAGTAAGAAGTTTTCGGCGCGTAATTAACTATTAGCAAGTAGTTAGAAGCGCTGACGAAACCGCTTGCGCCTGTGGAACATTAGAGTCAACTTGCTTGCGAACTTTATCCCGAACTTATCAGCACCCACTGTGTGCTCGATAATACTTTTGATTCGCTCACGCGACCCCCGAATTATCGCGAATTGTCGAATAGAATCGAATTAAATGCATCTAGCTGCTAAAAGCATCGAGAACATTATTATATCAGTTTTTTTGATTTTATTTATTTTGTTATATGTATCAAATATATCATTCTCGCATTCATTTTTCACTTTCATTTCTTTCCAAATTATTTTATTTTGCTCATATGATGATACAATTATTTATTAGATACTTAAATTGGGAATCTCTTTTCAAAATATCATTCAGTACTTTCGGGATAGCTAATCCATGAATAAATATCGATCGTATTGTGATTCGTCGTATAAATACGCAATCGTCGAAATTTAAAATGCGTAAGAAGGTTCATCGGTTCTTTTCCCTGTAGTCGGATGACACGACGGAAACGAATAGATATCCATTGTAGGAGGCCGGTTACCGTCATTCGTATTCGTCGAATGAAAATTCAGCCCTCGAACGACGACATTGCCTTCTGCTGTCATGGACCGAAACAGATGGCAAAGGAAAAAGGTGGATGGGAGGATTATCCTCGCGCGAAAACCGAGAAATCCGTCGTAATTCGTCCGCTGGCACACAATGCCCGAGATTCGTCTAATTGGTATCCAATTAACCGAAATTGGCGCGGTCGGTCTGAGAACCTTATCGTGACTCGAATATCTTGGGAACAGATTTTGCTGATTGCGAGAGAGGCGCTCGAATGTGCGCGGATCGCCATGCGAAATTTTCAGCGGTAAACGACGTTGTATATATTTACATTATATTTTATCAAACATGTCTGACAAATGCATATTGATCCTATTAAGGTATTAATTTATGCGACTGATGCTGATTTGTTTAGTTACCAATATACTGTAACTGTGAAACTCGACAACGCATATTATTCGAGTTAAATAATCTTCGATGAATAAATTAAAGCGTATATTATAATGGAGATGTTTAATCCGATAATTTTTAAAAATCTCTGGCAATTTTGAGACCGAACTACATGTTTAACACAAACTTATAAAAATTTTCTCTACCTTGAATAAACAATACAAGTTTGTGTATTATATATGTGACGTGAGAGAGAAATAATAACTATAAAATATTAATTAATATAAATTACATAAATTATATAAATACATAATTATATTTAGAAAGATTGCAAGACAGTTTTGAATATTAAAAATAAAAATTCTACGGGATAGAATAATTCTACGAATCTTATTTCAATATTTAAAACAAATTGAGAAATGGTGGTAGTTTCAATAGAGAAAATTGAAAAAGACTATCGCGCAAAAGTCCGGTGGGAATTCTATCGGCGGATGATATCAGGACAGTATAGGAGACCGTAAATTTATGAACCTCCTATACGCCCGACGCGACGTCTCCTTACGCGCGTTCCATTCCAACGATTGCATTCTGAAAACGTATCGACACCTATACATCACGTCTGTCCCAACGCGAAGGCGACCTCCGGTTTTCCGCCCTCGCGATCCAGAAGGACGGTGGCATCGTCATTTGCATTCGCCCGGCAACGAGACGGCAAAAAAACCGGTGGAATTCCGAGTATCGATTTATTTCTGACCTAATCACGGCTATCTCTCTCTCTCTCTCTCTCTCTAGATGGACTTTGTTCCTTGCTAATGCCGCGGGAATCCCAGGCCGTGGCATCCATTTCTGTCGATGAGACCGACCGAGTGACGACGCCCGTCGGATTCTTTCCATTTGACCGCATTGCGACAGGGCGCACAACGATAAAACTCGTACCCGATGCAAATTGGTCGCTTCCTAGGCGCACGTCGTGGTTACGAGATTACGGTATACGCAGGTTAATTGCGGCCTACCGCATGATGCAAAGAGGTCTCTGTGACAGAGAGTCGTCTTTTTCTCTCTTTGAATCGAATCACGTGTCACGAGGAAACATTTTTGGTGAACGTGAAAAGTACGCTTCGCCGCGGTCAGACACGCTTTTAAAAAGTACCTCGTTTAGAATTTTTATCAGAATGTGAATGCAAGAATCTTTCATCACTTTTTAGTAAACATTTCTTTTTATCAATTTTCAAATTGTAAGATATGTAATGATTAAATCGGCAATTAAGAAATTAAAAAAAGTAATAACATAAATTTCTTGGAAAAATAAAAAATTAAACAGTTTTTAATTTTTCCTTCAAATTAGGGTAAAATTATAATAATAAACTTTTGTAACATTATATATAATGAGCTACATTTGCAGTACAAGTAAAGGATAATAGTTTTTTGCTCCGATCGACAATCTAGATCTCGCGACTGTGTCAACGAGAATCGCCGAGATTTTCCATGCTCTCGAGCGCATGACGCGATAGATAAGAGAAACGATCATCTTCCGACGAGCTTAGAAAGTTTCTTCCTTACAAAGATAATATTCATAATTGCTCTCTACAGCTCCTTTTCTTCCAAAGTTTTCTTTTGTCGACAATTGTAGTTAAAGTCTTCGAAATTATCGAACGACCGCCAATCGCATTATCCTTCGCGGATTCTTATCGTTCGCATTCGCGTTTTATCTCGCATTGCTTCTATTCCGGCCATCAAATTCTCCCGAAATCCCTCCGGCTTCAGCTCTCTCTAATCTGAGCCCGATGACTCTGCGGGATGAACACGCTGTGTGGCGTAACGTTTATTTCCGCCTCTATTTTATTCGCGCATCGCATTACTTTATGAAACTGCGAGAAATTATGTCGTTTTCTCGTGAGATTTATCGTCCGACGTCGTCGGCGCGCGTGAGAATCCTCAACGCGAGATGTAATAATTAGTCGACCAAAGTTTCACGATAACGGCCGGGTATCGGATTTTCGTGCTTCTGTGGCCCAGAAGTCGCTGATAAAACTTTCCTCCGACCGCGGTTGGTATCTCGCAATTATTTCACTTCGCGACGTTCTTTGGCAATCTTCTCGGCACTCTCTTTCTCTCTCGTCGAGACGATGCTTGGAGCGAATACGAATATTGTTTAGTTATTCGCGGAAGAAACGGAGAAGTCCAATTATCGTAATTCTGTTTTGCGGCACCGATAGTTATGGACTAACGAAACGGAATTATCGATTATATTGTATTTTCGACCATTTTTGTCTAGTCTTATCGATCGCGGCGAGGATATCGCTAACGAGATGTTTCTAATTAAAATTACCAATCCCCTGCGGCTTTATAACTTACAATTAACGATCTCTCCTTTCCCGGATCTACACGAGCTTCCGAAATTTTCGGCCGAAATTATACGATATGTTAACTTTGCGACGATTAACTTTGGGTTATAGTTAAATTTGTGTTATAGTTTTATACAGAACGAGTTAATTTTCTCTGTACTTATTAATAAATTATTTCACAATATAATTGCAACATCGACCGTGAATTTGACACTGCAATACTTTTTGTGTCGATATTTAACGAATGAGATTATGACTTTAATTTTATAGTAATTGTTAAGTATAGATAATTTTATAATTATCTTGCATTATACTTGTGTGGAAAAAAAAAACTATTTCAGTGTTGCATTTATCGCCAAGTCATATATTACTATAGATGATTTTACGAACATAGAGTATGTCTCATAGACGTACTACATAATTCAGAAATTGGACGCATGCAAATAACGTGCTATTATAATTAAGTTGGAAAATTCCCGGAGTATTTCCCGGCGTTATAATAAAATAATTGACGCATGACTCAGTAATTTACCGCGTGATTATAATTTTTTTCAGGTGGCTTCACCTGCTGTTTAACCTGGGGGTTCAGGTGGTCGTGGGACTTCCCTTGGAAATGGTTCACGGAAGCCTGAGGATCGCCGCGGTTTACATGGCTGGGGTTCTTGCCGGTGAGTAATGTCGTCTGCAATGTGAATTATGTTATGGTGCATCTACAATTTATGCTCCGGGCGTAAATGCTCGTTTAACCTTCGCGTTTTGCCGTTGTAAAAGTTAAGCCAAACGCAAAATCTTGTCTTGAAATAATTATTAAGAACAAAAAGCATCGATTTAAAAGCTTGAGTTATCCAGAGTTATAATCATTGTTTAACTTTTTTTTTCAATACGGTGCATTATTTTATTTAACGCATTAAATATGTATATGCAAGCTGTATTTATAATTAAATCGCAATCCACTTATTTCAATTATCATTAACTTCTGTCATGTGCAATAACAATCTCAACCAACGGTACAAATTCATTGTTTCTCTTTCTATCTCTCTCTCTATCTATCTCTTTCCCCTTCTCTTGCTATTCTCCAATTTTTTTCTATGAAACGCGTTTATGGGCAATCGTTGAAATTAGTCCGATATATATGTAAATACAAGCGAATATATCACAAAACGTGAACATTATAACCAAAATGTCCAAGATACGCAGGGTGCTAATTATCTGAACATATGCTACCTGCTACAACGAGGCGAATTTTAATTAAAATTCGTTGATGTTAATATAAGTACCTTGACAGCTGTATAATGAAACGCTTTTCATTCTCAATTTTGCACATTTTCCAAATAATCTCCTATCATATCTCTTGACTAATTCGTTGGTAACAAACTGAATTTTTTGCGATTTATCGTATTAAACGATAAAATTGTTTTTATATACGATTCTTTTCTTTTTATTCTTGCGGGATGTAGCACAAGAATTACAAACGATAATGTTATTCCTATGTTTATTTGTATCGTTTTCTATATGCTAAGCAATTTCTGTCCGAAACATTTTTGCATATTTATCGAGACAACAAAGGCTACCGAGTAATTCCGCTAAATTGTTCCGTTCCGTATATATGTATATGTATATAGTATATATATAAAATATATATAGCGTAGATACATGCGGGCAAAAACGTATCTATATACATCTAATTGTCATTTGCATAAATTCGATTAGACGCAGATCCCGAGTTATTAGCGGTCATGAAAGTAAAACGTGGCAAAATGGGGCGCATGAATAATCAACTCTAGCCGAACAGGGGACAAAGAGGATGCAGGAATTAGATAGGAGGAATGGCGGTATAGGAATTTCAAAACAGATGCGACGATGTTACTTTTGGTAAATTAGCAAGAATAAACACAGTTGCACTCTTTTATTTATATACAGCAACTGAATTTTAATTTCAGGATTAATTGTTTGAATTGTAAATTAAAAGTGTGTGTAAGACGATGTAAAAATGATATAAAAAGTATTGAGAATAGAATTCGAAAAAAGAGAATTTTACGTGAAAACAGATACATTGTCAATTATACAAAAAAAAAATACAAAAGGCAGTAATAAAAATAATGAATAAAACGCTACAAGTGCGATGAATGTAATAAATCAAATTTATATATTACAAAAGATTATGCAAGTGTAAAGAACTTCTTTCGTGGTACCATAATAATTTATGACAAGAGCATCAAACTTCTCTCGATATTATCGACTGCCATTTCCGCCTTCTTTCGTCGTTTTCGTTCTCGTGAAATTTCCCTATTGCGCATTTCCAACTATACTTGTCTCTAACCATTTTATCTTGGTCCTCGCCTCTGCTCTCGAGCAGTGCGTATCTCCATCTCTGTTCGTCTGAAGTTGCTCGCAAGAATGCGCCACGGCGACAGCTTGTCTGGGCCCACCGCGACGAGATTACTTCGTATGCATCGCGGTCGCGACGATGTAATGCGATTGCAACGCCGCAAGTGCAACGGCAGCTACATCTCCCCTCTTTTCCTTTGGCTGCACTCGGCGCCTCCGTCTTTATATGCCTTTGCTTGCATCGCCCGCCTCTTCTTCCTCTGGTCGACTCTTCATTTAACGTTGATCGAATTACGGCGACCATACTCGATTAATCACAGAGGAGCTGTGAAATATTTCTTTCTCATAAGAGTGTAGAGAAACGTAATTAATTATACATTTCGCAATAATATTATTATTCTTTGTTTAAATTAATTACGTAAATAACGATTTTGAAAGAAATTAAAAAAATAGGAAAGAAACGTTAGAAATTCAAGCAGAGGAATTATTATTTTTTCAGAACGTATTTTATATATATAATAATTTCCCGTAACTTTTTTGGTTAAAAATAATATTCTAATACTTACGTTACAGAATTCAACATAATTACATTTATGTTTCTTCAAGGAATGTTATTATTTGTTGCATTCCTTATGTGATCACACGTACACACACACGTGCGTATATTTAAATATTTTTTATTAATATAAAACGCGTGTCGCGTACATCAATTAATATTGCGCGACATCAGGAAAAAAAACGTTGAAACGTAATCATCAAATTAATGAAGCACGTAAATCAACGTTTTAAATTATGCGGTTTGTGTATCACGCGAGTGTAAATTATCCTTAGTATAGTGTGAAACCGGGTAGCTTATAAATGCACTTCTCCAGACCGGCGCGCGGATTAATGTCGTTTACGACATCGTCGCGCTTATTACTGGTTGTACTCCCTGTCCGCCCTATTGCTCGACCGTTTCTACTTGAAAATTTGGACAGTGAACCGAGATAGAGATTTACCATCGTAGAAAATGCATAGCGCAAACAAATTCACAGAGCATACGAAAATTAAATGTCGATTGATTCAAAAAGTGAATTATAATTATAATACATATATTTTTTATCTCATAAAAATTTTATTTTTTGTGAGAGAAAAAAATGGCTTGAATTATAAGATTTTGTATATTTTATTTGAATGTCAAAAATATGATTTTTTATTTCTACTTCTTAAATTGATATAGTTATAATTATCTATAATTGAAATTATAATTATGTGGTATATTTATTTTTATCATGATTGAAATTCCGTTCTACAAAAAATTGTATTTGAAGAGTAATAAAATATTCAACTTTGATGTTGAATGATTAAGAATATTTACATAATTAACAACATTTCGAAAACTTATACAGGGAATTATGTATATATTCTTAGTAATTCCGTCTCGTTGATTTCGTGCGGCGCGCTCGTCCCTCTATTTGCAAACTTTCTTCTCTATTAACGTTAACGAATGTTTCCCGGTATCCAATTTTTTGTTGAAGAACGGATACGGCTTCGTGTCGTAGCGTCGTCGTCGTCGTCGTTGTCGTCATCATCGTCGTCGCGGCGGCGCTGTCGAGTCGCGATTGCGTGACATCAGCAATTATACGACGGTATTTGCATGTCGTACGACGCGCTTCGTCGTTCGTATGCACGACTGCGTGTGGCCAGTTACCGGTGCATTAACTCGACTTGAAGATAGCCGGCGACGACGACAGCGACGACGACGACGGCGATGATGATAGTATACCCGACTTTGAAAATCGATACTTTCTTTTCTTCTTTTTTTTCGCGCGTCTTTAACTTTACTTTTAGCACAAGATCGCATTGTCTCAGCTCGTTAGAGTCTCTTCCCACTTATTTCTTTCGATCATTTCGAAAGTATCTTGATGACAAACCGTGAAAAACTTTAAATTGAGCGATGCAATGTTACAATTTATATAGAAAAACGCTGTCATATTGTCGTTGTTACCAATAATAATTTTATTTCTATGAGATTTTTATATATTTTTATGATTAATTTAATCTTTACATTTCTCTTTATTTTATATTTTTAAATATATTTATTTTTATAATTTTTATATATAGTATACATATTAAAAAATCTCTCTTTAATTCAAAATGAAAGCAATTTGATCTAGCAGCCAATTTTTACCGATACTAATAGTCCGAGAGCAATTTACTCCTTTTTCGAAATTTGAAAACTCTACACGTAAAGCTTTCCACGAAATTTAATCGCGTCATGCCAACTCGCGAAAAAATGCAACGGTCAGTTTCATCGAAAATAAAAGAATAAATAAAGCAGATAGAGTCAAGATACCACAAAAGTCATTTACTATATTTTAATCACGAAGAATGCGCTTTGTGCAGCCATTGGTCTACGTTCTTTTCCACTAGCCATCTTTTTTTTGTACGCGTATGCAAACATATCTGTATGTTTGCGAGCGCGTGCATTTTCTGTGTATTTTTCTCCCACCTCTCTTCGAACGTTTTAATATTTTCAACGCAAAAACCCCTGGCGGATACAGCCTATCGTTGGGTCAAAGGGATATTAAAACAACGGAACGAAATGCGGGATGTACAAAATGTTGATATTGCGCGCGCTCCTCGCTTTCGATCGGGAATTTTGCGTGTCGATGATTGCGCTCAGGATGCCGAAAGTTTCGAAAAAAGCGTGCGTGCATGCGAGAGGGAGAAAGACAAAGCCAAAATGAAACAAAAAGTCAGCGGGTGCGAATAGCGAACGCGCTGGAAATTTCAGTATTTTTCAAAACACACACATCGCGAGATTTAATACTCACAAACTTGAATTGTTTTTATTTTTGAGAATCAGTAGTGTCTGTCGTGTGATGGATGTTACTGTACATATGTTAATTACGTTTCGAATAAATGATTCTTTGTGAGTAGTATCTATTATATTATATTAAAGAAGGAGGAAGAGAATTGCAGAATTTTCTCTTCAACATAAGAAATGTTAATGCTACATTTTAAAATTTATTTTTCCATTGAGAATGGTTTTTTATGTCAAAGCTAATAACGCTTTAAAGGGCTGCAATGTGATGTAATGTAATTCGTGTTCAATATTATAAAATGTTATTTATGTTACGTATTTCCCAAGGATCCTACAATAAATATCAAACCTAATTTGATGATATTCCATTACCGAATACCAAAGGTTTATGTGCATATATATAAATAGGAATATAAATATACAATATCTAAGAAAATAATGTATGAATTTCCTGCGAACAACTATTTTTTATCATCCTTCAATTAATCTTCGAAGCAGACATGAAATTCAAATTGTGTTTGCATATATAGACAA